GAGCAGCCGTGGCGCAGTGGTTAGAGTTTTGACTCAGAAACCAGAGGTCCGAGGTTCGACTCCAGCTCTAACCCAACAAGCGACATTGGTACGGAAGGAGGCGTGAGCTTCCTGTTAAATGCTCTCCCGTGGTGCTCTATGATAAGACCGTAAGGACTTCTGGGAGTACTTAAATACATACAAAAAAACAAAAAACAAAATGAGATTTAAACCATTTAAAGCAGTGAAGTATAATTTTCAATTGATTCAAAAATTTTACCAAAAAAAGAGCTGAACAAAATTAAAACATTGGATCTAATTAAGAAAAGTGGATAAGCTAAAAATATTTTTAAAATTCCTTTACAGATTGATAATCAAAAATCCGAAAACCAATAGGAATCTTTGTTATCATAATAATAACTGCAGTAATTATTATTACTTAAAAAAATGTGTATACCAAGAAAGAGAATAAATAAAAACGTTTCTTTACCTATAGATTAAACAGTTTCAATAGGAAGTGGGTAAGTTAAAAGATACTTTTAAGGTAAGGTAGGTAGTGGGCAGCAGACAAAAATGTGATGACTAGATCTGTTTACAGAAACTTTTACAGAACCGTCACATGAAATACAGATAAAATTATTAATGGTATACTGTATCTAAAAATTAAAAAGAAAAATGTTTTTCAAAAGATCTTTCTGTAAGTCAGACCGGCCCAAAGCTGCCCATTTAGGCATCAGCCCTTCTGGCATTTATCATAATTGCCAGATGGTCAATGCGGGCAAATGATTAGAAAAACAATTTTATATTAAATTAATCTAACTATTATTATTTTTTGTTTACATTATTTTGTTGTTGTACAGTTATATAGTGATGTTAATAATAAAAGAGTAATAATAACAATTACCTTTCACAAATTTACAATGATAAATAATAAGGTAACTGAAAGAAGATCACGAAGATCTTGTCATCAGAATCTTAAATAAGCCGCTTTTTAAAATGCATCAATAAATAATATTTTTCAATAACGAGATAAAATAAACTAATAAACCTCTTACAATTATGAAAGAAAATAAACTTTATAAAATACAAACAAAAATATAAAACGACTTTATATAAGTAAACTAAGACTTAGTAATAATAAAAATTTAACAATTTTAAGATGTTACTATTAGCAGTACATAAGTACGTTGTCCACGGAAAGAATAACATTTTTAAGTTTAGATTTAAAAAAAGGGAAATAAGAAGGCAAATAAAAATTTGAAAAATAACTTTATTCCAAAGTACACGGAATTAATACAAAACTGATTAAACTTGGTTCGACAGAAAACTTGATTAACAAATCATTATCTCTTAAGGTATATTAATTGACAGGTTTTAAAGTAAAGATAATTTTAAAAACGCTAGGAACTAACGTTTTTACAAATTATCCTATTTTTTCACATATATACGAAACATAAGTCATTTAATACATTTAATTTATATATGTTAGGTAATCTCATATCCTTTGAATATGTATGACAATCGAATTGGGTACATCTGAAGTTTACAAAGACGTTTAAATCTATTTTTAAAAGCACCTCCCCGGGCAACATTTTTATAAATTAAATAGTTATAGATAAATGAGTAATTAAGTTGGGATAAGCTCTTTTTTTGTTATAAATAATATCTAGTTTTATACAAAACTTTACTATTTTTAGAAATTTTGGTACAGATGTAATTAATGATATGTTTCTATGAAATGTGTTCATCCAGGAAAACTCCTAAAAACTTTGTAACACAAACTCTTTTAATCTCAACTAAGTCGATAAAAATTGAAGGCAGATTTATGGATAGATGCGCTTTTTTAAAGCCAATAAAAAATAATATATTTTGTTTTAATAATTAAATCAATACATTTAATAGTAATTTAATTTCCAGAAATACATGTCCAATGCATTCAAGCTTAAATGATGTTATTCTATATTTTACGTATTTTTTAGATCTAATAACATCACTAAAAGTTGAAGTCATCACCATCACCAAGATATTCTTTGTGAATTATGTTGTGCCTATTAATTGACCGGTTAAATCAACATCGCCAGACAACTACATTGCACCAATGGATTTATCAAAATTTAAATTTAGTTTGCTTACAATTTGAAATTGGTAAAAAAAAATCTAGCTTTTTGAAAGATGTTATGAGAATTTTATATATGTTATAGTTTAATATATAGTAGTATTATATTAAAGTAAAACTTTTTTTTTTTGTCTTTGCAGAGCAAAATCACTACTGACATCATCAAACGGTAAACTGCTTAGTTTTATGCTTTCTATCCACATATGACAAAAAAATATTCCTACAAGATTCATGTCCACATTTTCAGGATACTTTTGGCATAAAACAGTAACTCCTTCAAAAATCTTGCATTCTGTAGCTTCAAATTTTGTTAAGAAAGAAAACTATTTTGCAGAACCTTAGTAAACTGAGGACCTCAGTGCCAGATTTGACTCTAATGTATTTATAAAAAGTATAAATTTTTTTATTCTAAACTAGTCTCTTGGATCAAGATTCTCTAAATCATCATCATCATTCTTATGCCTTCTTTAATACTTTCTTTACTTATGATCAATATTTTGTTTTTAATGGTCGAACATAATCCTTGAATCTTTAACAAAATCCATAAGAGGATTAAGCAATATCTCACGTATATCTAGACATATTTGGAACTTCTACAGTTGTTGACTTTCATCGAGCAAGTAACTTCAAAAATGAAACAAAAACATATATTCGAACTTCCCTATTTGATTTAAAGTGTTTATGGCATAATTTTTTGTTCCGCCGGAACTAAATATTATGCCATAAACACTTGTGCACTCACTGAAATTGTGCTGCTGACTGTTGTTATTGATCAGAATGAGACTATTAAATTTTTCCTAGTCTTTAACCAAGACTTTGAACTCTTGAATCTTTTTTGAAAAATGGCTACAGTACTGATCTTCTATTTGTAAATGATAAAAAGAAACTATATATTTTTTAAACAATTCCAAAAATGTCAATTGCATCCAAACAACAGTCAACTGCTGCTCTGCCAACAAGGTTTAGGAAGTGGTCAGCAAATAGAATATATAATATGCATATTAACCTTTAATCAAATTTTCTAGATGCCCTTGTGTTAGCAGGACATATTAATAGCATTGTTATATTACTAGCCTAAAAACTTAATAAAATATATTTTCAAATCATTAGTAAGATATTTGTGCACTATTTTGACCATTCTTTCCTTATGTGGCTACCCATTTCTAGAGAATTTAATGTTATATTTATATAACGTTCAACGAGAGCCCATTTCTGGTGAAACATACCTCGCAATAAAAGAAAGTTGATCAATATGGGACTGGTCTGGGTAGATCCAATAGACAAACTAAAGTAGCTTGCAGTTCTTAAGTCATCCACGATTGGGTATCTTACTTTTTTTCAACACATTTAATATTTATCTATCTGTTTTACTATTTGTTTAATTAATTAAAAGTAGTAAGTTAGATGTTTCCTTATTAACAGTGTCAAATTGTGGATGTCTACACTTACTTACAATACAAAAATGATACACTGTATCATTTTTTTTATTTATAGATGTTAAAAGATTTAACAAGGTTATCTTTATTAAAAAGGAATTTTCATTAATGCCAGTGCAGGATTATATATATACCCTTAAAAAAAAGAAATTTGCAAGACAACTTTACCTAAACCAGTTGATATAATCCGAATAGTTTAGGCTTGGGGAACTGATAAGAGAAACTAATCAGTTGATGTATGTACACTCATTGCGTCAATTCTTCTTGAATTGTATGTCTGTACACTCCGCTGTGCTAATCTCTAAATATCTCAGTTTGCAAATTATCTATAAATTTATCTGTAATTATCTATAAAATTATCTATAATTATCTATAAAATTATCTATAATTATCCATAAATCCAACTTAGTGGTTGTGAAAGACGTTCAACGTCGAAAGTATATATATATAAATCCAAGTTAGTGAATTAAAAAACATTATACGTTGAAATTATCTCTAAATCCAAGTTTGTGGAAGTGAAAGACGTTTAACGTTGATTTTATCTATAAATCCAAGTTAGTGCATGTGAAGACGTTCAACGTCAAATCAATTCTTATGTTCAAAACGTAAAATCCGTTTTTAAACATTAAAATTTCGATAGTACGAGTTTAAATGTTACAAAACAAAGAAAAAAGACCTTACCCAGTAAGAAAAAGACGTCGAGCCGTTGTTGTAATTTGGTTGTATTTTGGTCGCGACGCAAGTTAACTAAATTCCAACGATGTTCCAACGTCGGCATAACGGTGTTACTCTAACGTTTGCTATCAAACGTCGGAACAACGTCGGAAAAACGTTATCATCTAACGTCTTGAATGTTTACATTAAAACGACGTTGGAACAACGTTGGTTGTTTAACGTAAAACCAACGTTAGACAGATTAACGTTAGATCGACTTTGGAACAACGTTGCTTTTTTTTACGTCAGCATTCTAACCTAAACACAACTTAATTTTACAAAACAAAAAAAAGCATTTTTAACATGGTTAAAAACCATTATCGAAAAAAATGTTACTTTTAATCTGGTTTTTAGGCATTATAATCAGTGATAATAATAATTATTACATTATTTCTTTATATTCTACAGTCGAATTAGATATCAAATTTTAATTATATTAATCATTATAACATCAAAAACATTTTTTGAAAATCAAATAAAGTTTTAGTAACTTTTATTTATCATTAATTATTAAATAGTTAATAATAAATAAGTTACTAAAACTTTATTCAATTTTCAAAAAATATTGACTTTTTTGTTATGTTTTTGTATACTTTGTATATTTAACATTACTTATATAGTAAAATTTTCAAACATATATAATATTTGCACAATATTTTATTTACAAATAAATAATGCAATGATAGATTTTTTAAATACCCGTTATTAAACTATTTAATAGTTTAATAAAATCAATAAAAATACAGAGCCTATTTTTATGACATTTATTTCAGTTGTCTTAATACATAATATATTTTTATTTATTTGAATGGAAAGTTTTTTAGTTTCTTGTGAGCTAGTTCTAGACTAGAAATTACCTAATATGCTTCCTTATAACTTGTGTAATGTGTTTCTTTTACGAATTTGTATAGTAGTATAATTCCTAAAATTTACTGATAAAAACTATGGCATGCTATTCCAACAATATTATAACTAACACTGACTTTCACAAATTTAAGTTTCAAGTCACAAAAAAAAGTAAATTTTTTTTTATGTGTTTGTATTAAGATGTTTTTATTTATTTATTTTTTAATATTATTCACCTCCGGGTTACTACCAGGGACATAGTAGGGATAGTACCAAGACCTTTTTATGAAGCAAACGAAAAATTTATCCAACATAAACAGCAGCAGAACATCTTAAATTTGCACAAGAACTTAGTCATAATAAACAAGATATTTATTTAAATCAATACACACACAGTATTACATTATACACACTCAGTCAGTATTTAATTTTTGAAATGAATCACAATCTCATGTTTCCCTAATATCACAGTTGAAACAAAGAGCCTATTTTGGTTTCATTAATTAAAAATAACTTTTAACATTTTTTTAATGTTTTCTTTTACACCTTCTCTAGGCCATAAAGGCTACCTCCCCAAGGCTATTTAATAAAATCACCTCCTCAATGCCATAAAGGGTGCTGCAGTTGAGGAGGCTCCTTTTTTTCAATTGTATAACTCCCTCTCAACTGTATAACTCTGAAATATTTCAATAAAATACATGCCAAATACATTTGTGGGTAGTTTTTGTATATGATATGTGATTTGATATAGTTTTTAAAATTCATATGTTATACCAAAAGATATACTTTACTAATATCACATTATTTAATCTTGGACTCAACTGTTAAACAGTAGAAGATTTGAACGAGTTTACACTAAGAATGGATAATAAAACTTTTGCACAACAGTTTGTGAGTTTGATTTCAATATGTTTAACATGATTTAAAGAACAATATATTTTGTTCTGGACAAAATATTCCTGGACAATATATTTTATTCTCCAGCTTTTGAAACAGCAAAAAATTTACAATCACTTTATTAAAATAATTCTAAATGATATACTGTTACAAATTATGTCATCCTATTTATTCAGCCTATAAATATTTTTAAACATTTTAGATTGGTTGCAGCGTAACAAAATTATTATTTAATAATTCTAATGTTTGAAAATTTTATTTCTGTTACAAAATTTAGTGAATAAAAATGTTTTTATAATTATGATTTTGCCATGATTGCTCTGATTGAATCATGGCAAAACATTCATTCAATTTTAACTATTTATTTAATAAGTTTGGGTTTTAAAGGCTTGACCTTAGTAAATGCAGTAAAAAAAAAATATTTTAATAAGATCTTATGTGTAAAACACTTTAATGTGTCTTTTTTATATTTTTTTCTTTTTTAGGCCAACTCTAATGTGTTGGCGGAAAGTTACAAAAAAATATTAAAGACTTAATTCAAAGGTAATTTTTGTATTTCTTAATTTATATTTTTATTTGTTTTATGTATATTCATAACATTACTGGCATTATGAATAACTGGAAAGAATTTGTTAATTATTATTTTATTATCACTTTAAATGAGTATACATAATGCATGTGAATATTTATATAACACATTAATAATCTAATACAAACGGCTATAAAGATGATATTAATAGAACATTTTGAAGTATTTTTATTATAAAAATTTATTTCTTAAAAGTTAAAAAATGCTAATTTGATTTATGCAAATTTTTTATAAAATTTTTGTATTTATAATACTATAAAGTATCCATGTCAAAAGTATTAAAAATATTATAAATATTGTAAATCATATATATATATATATATATATATATATATATATATATATATATATATATATATATATATATATATATATATATATATATATATATATATTTATATATATATATATATATATATATATATATATATATATATATATATTTATATTTATATATATATATGTTATATATATATATATATAAATAAATATATATATATATATATATAAATATATATATATATATTTATATATGTATGTATATATATTGCTCGAAGTGAGCCGGGATGCCATACCGTCACCTCTTTATGAAGTATAACAATATATAAACAATACCGCCACCTTTTTATAAATCTCTATATATAACATGATTTGGCAGGATAGTATTTTTAATTTACCAAATATCATCTCGTTACCTTTTTTCTCCACTTTGAGCACTGTATATATATATATATATATATATATATATATATATATATATATATATATATATATATATATATATATATATATAAATATATATATATATATATATATATTTATATATAAATATATATATATATATATATATATATATATATATATATATATATATATATATATATATATATATATATGTATATGTGTGTATATATATATATACGTATATATATATATATATATTTATATATATATATATATTTATATATATATATATATATATATATATATATATATATATATATATATATATATACATATATGATGATATCAAGATCAACTATAATTTGAAAGGCTATTTCTTAGATAACCAGTTTATTAGATAATGATAACTATTGAAGTTTAATTGGTGGATTTTCCTTTAAGCCTATTTCAATAGTTTTTACATTTTTGAAAGTGATTCTATGTTATATTTGACTAAACTCTCTTTAAAAAGTGCTGATTTTAGTAAACCTTCTGATGTTTGTCCTGATTTTAATGCTTGACCTTGTTTAGTGGCCAGTTAAACATTTAGTTGCACATTTTCATTTTTTTCATTTTTACAAATGGCAAACTGTATTTATAAGCAAAAATCATTTTTTGTCAAATAAAATCCCGCAAGTGAGACATCTAGTTTATATAATATATCATCTAGTTTATATAATATAGTTTGTTTTGGGGTTATCCGTCAATTATTGGTGTTTTGGAAAAACGGAGCCAAAGGTATGTGATTTGTCATATGTTCAAATTAATCATACTTCTGTAAAGTCTCATGACTTATCTGGTAAAAAACCATCTGATTTTGTCAAAAAGTCTAGATCACTGGTGGAGTTTAAAAAAAAGGCTATACAGTTAATTTCTTTTGTATACTGGTCCCTATGCACTGAAGGTAAAAAGTAAATTAACAGAATCATAGCGTTGGTTATGCATTGATGCTATCAAATTGGTTTGGATGAATGGATTAATAAGGCTGTGGATTATTATTGTCAAACATTCACAACATACAATTTACATAACCTTATTAATTTGTTATAATTGTTTGAATGATCGCTTCTTGATATGTCTGCCTTTTCATTCAAAAAAATATTAGTTTTTGGTAAGAAGATGCCACTTGCTCAAATGGTCAATCGTTTAAGTGAAATTTAAGTAGTTTGGTTTGGAAAAAAATTACCTAACAAAGTAATCACTAGTCTTAAAGAGAGCTATTTAAAAAAACGAATTTTGATTCTTTGCTAAGTAAAAGTGTACCATTTCAGTTTCTTTATATACTATACAACTCATGTTGTAAGAAAATATATTGTCTTTGCCAAACTAACCCTTGTAAAAAAATAAATTTCCATAAATCAAAACTTAAAAATATATCTTTTAAGGGTCTGAACACAAAGACATATCTTTTGAGTGGTAAAACTAGAAAAAAAATTTTTCCATTGTATCATGATTGTGTGTATTAATTCTGTTTATTCATCGAATTAAAAATAATTTGAGGGGCAGTTTCATTAATTTTGAAGTTTATTGAGGTATTGTTTTTTCTATTTCAGATAATGTTGCTAATCGATTTACAGTGAATATTCTTTCTAAAGCAGAAAAACTCAGGTGAGCACCAATTAGAAAGTTAGCACAATTTCTGATTTTTCTATTTGTTCATTTCGAATGTTTTTTATTTATTTCTTAAAAATGCTTTTAACTGGATTTGTTTGTAACTTTATGTTTCTTTATATATTTTTGTACTATAGTGTCAAACAAAGCATACGCAAATTATTCGAGATATGGTCGAAATTTGCAAAGAAAGTAAAACTCAATCTAGTTTTATTCTAAGTTATTGTATATAATTTTCAAATTTGGAATAGAAGTATTGCAATATTTATTTATTTTTAGTCTCTTAATTTCTGTATTCAATTTTTTGCCCTAATTTAATAATTGTGTATGACCTTAATAAATAAGAAAAATAAGAAAAAAAATATAACTTCACAGCGCAAAGTTATACATTGTATAATTGTGTTTTTGTGTTTTTTGAAGCGTAGAAATAACATCAAAAATGAAAAAAAAACGTTGGAGGGCGTTTTTCTTGCAATATCTTTAATATAACGTTGACCTATGTTTCATATATGCTATTTTTCCAACGTTTAAACAACGATAGTAAAGACATTGGCTCAACGTCATTTTGGCTAAAATAGAACGTTTGCCTAACGTCCTTATTACGTCTTTTTTCTTAAAATTTAACGTTGCTCTAACGTCTTTCCGACGTCATTCAGCTAAAATGTAACGTTGTCACAACGTCATTTTACATCGTTGTCATAACGTTAGCAAAATGACGTCTTTTCGGTGTTTCATTTATAACATCATGCCAACGTCTTTCCAACGATACGAAAGACGTTAGAACAACGTTGTACCAACGTCATTTTTCTTATTGGGTAAAGCGTTTAGTTCTTGATGTCGAATACGGAAAGCAAGAATTTTTTTGAATGCTGGTACGTTGATATTATTTCATATTATCTATTAAGTAAGTTTACTCTGTATGATAATATTTGAAAATTCTTGTGGAGATAAAGATAACGATTTTGGAGATTATTTTTAGGGCCAACATCGCATTATTATTTTCCATGTAATCAATGGTTTTATATTTATTTTCTATTTGTTTTTGGTGCCATTTTTATATGACTCTTTGGTGTCATTTTTATACTAGGGTGAATTGAAATAAATAAGATAGTTTGCAACCTAATTTAAATGGGATTTTCAGTACTTACACTGGTTTGGTATACAATATTGCTAGAAAGATATTGATTATTTAACGGAAAAATTGTTTTGTCTATGAAATTGCATGATTTTAATTTTATGTTTTCTTTATTTGATAAAATCTTGTGACTATGCGCATTAATTAAAGACTTCGACACGCAACTGCAGCTTACTCTAATATAATTTCGAATAAAAATTTTTGTAGCCTGTGTTCGACTGGAAAGTAGCCTGTGTTCTACTGGAAAATGTAAGTCAATTAAAGCTAAGAAAAGATTTCCAAATTTTACTTTCAACATTTTTCCTAAACGAGCGGTTTTAGAATATAAACTTGTGTTTGTAATGTTTATTTGATGTTGATAGTTAAGGCGAGGTTTATTTGATGTTGATATATCCTAATTTACATAAAACCTTTTCATATGGTAGAAATGAATTATTTAAAAAAGTTTCAATTACCGTAGTAGTATAATAAGTGATTTTAAAGCAGTTTTTTATAAGAAAATACAAGTAATTTATGTAAATATGCAATTTATGCAAATTAACAGCAATATGCAATTTAAAATTATGCAAATGTTAAAGTTCCATTTATATAACGTTATGTATAAACGTCTGTAAGTGTAAAAGTCAGTATATTTAGTTGATTTTGCGAATCGTATGTGTAGGGACCGGCGACTTTTAAGACTCGAACTTATATGAAAGACGAATTTAGATTATATGCGTATACCAAATTTAACTGAAAAACGAATTTAAGCCGTATATGTAGCCCAAATTTAACTGAAAGATGAATTTAGACTTATAAACCGAATTTAACTGAAAGCCGAATTTGTATTTTAAAAACACATTTAATTAAACTTAATTAAGAAGTTTTTTAAGAACTTCTATAAGTAAATATATATTTTTTTGGCTCTAAATGTTTCGAGAAGACCTAACGGTTTTGCCACGGAGTACTTTAGAAAAGTGTTAAACTAAAAAGTTCAAATCTTTTTTTCTTACCGATGGTGCGAAATATGCCTATAGCTTGCTTCGAACCCTAGAGTTATGGCTTCTAAAGCAAGCGCTCTAACAACTGCGCAGCGGTTGCTGTTTAATCATTTTTTATAAAGTAAAGTTATTATTTTTAGCTTGTAACTAAACATAATTTAAAACTTAACATAGAACAAGTGAAACCAAGTAAATTTTAATTTATTAAAAAAGTATAAATTTACACAAAACAATTTGCGTCAAAATCTAAAAATTCAGTAATAATGAAAATTAAGAAAGTTATGGAATCTTTACGACTCTTAATGTTTTTGAACAAACATGAACGATTTTTTATTTTTTTATTTATTACCTAAATCATATTCCCAAAGTTAAGTGGGCTACTTTAGTCAAGGTAGCTACTTCTTATATTGGTTACAACCCTCTCTCAACTATGAAGGAGGATTGTATCCAATGGAAACAGGTTGATATACGTAAAACATATAATATATTTTATAATTCTTCCTTATAAAATGAAAAAAACTTAGCTTATAGCTAAGTATTAGCTATATATTATATAGCTTTCGAATTTAACTGAAAGTTAAATTTTGAAATTGTTATCGAATTTAACTGAAAGCCGAATTTATATTTCAACTTCGGCACCAAAGTCGAAGCCGAAGTCAACTTCGCATTTCAGTAAACTTCGTAATCCAAATTTTAACAAATATTCGCCGTAAACATTATGTACAATATAAAAAAACTTTTAAAACATTTTCTAAGAATTACAAGTCTTTTTTGCTTAAATTGTTTTGAATTAAGAGTTTATCAGTTAAAAGCGGCAAAGTTGAAATAATTAAATCTTTTTACAAAGCGATAGGTTTGAACTTTTTGAACAGGAAACATTTTGTTTATTACACGGCAAACAACGCACTTAACCGTTAATCCAATAAAGGTATGGGTTATCATCAAGAACAAAACAATTTATAAATCTCAAATTATGTATATATATATATATATATATATATATATATATATATATATATATATATATATATATATATATATATATATATATATATATATATGCATATATAACCTTATTTGTTGGTTTATGGTTAGAAGTGGTCAGAAAAAAAATTGAAATGATTGACTCTCCTCCTGCTTATAACATTTCTGTTTGCTAAAAATACGTCACGATTTATTAACCGACCAAATCCGGGCTCAACTAAATGACTTAAGAACTAACGGACTTTTTATTAAATTATGTGGGCTATAATCAGAAGTCTTGCTGTTATAATTGATTCTAAAATTCTTTAATGTTAATCATTTTCTAAAAGCCGAAAAGAAGTATCGTTTATCTTTCACATCGTTTACTAAAGCTATTTAAATAATGTTACAATTTTATTCAAATTATTACAGTTTTTTTGTTAGTAATTATATACATACATAGATTATTACTAATTACCTTCGTATATAAGTACACATATACCCAATTTTTATGATTTTTACATGGTATGTAATACATTTAATTTTGTATGTATTACATGGTATGTAATACATATAATTTTATAAGTTAAGTTATTTAAAATTTTAAGGGGAGACTACCTAAATTATTACCATCTTCTCGCCTTTATTTGTTTACGTATGTTCTCGTGATAAAATGACACAAATAACTATATATAGGTTCTGACGAACTAGTTGTCAGATCTTTTTAAAAGTCAATTTTTAAAAAAGTCAAAGAAATTTATTTTTGCTTGTACTTCCTAAAACAATATTTGCATAGTTTATATAACAATGTATAAAGCAATATTTGAATAATTTATATAACTATGCAGTTTTTATAACTATGTACACCGTGAAATCGCCTAAGTTCGGTCACCATGTAACTTCGGTCATATAAGAAAAAAAATAAATAAAAAAAGCATGCAAAACTCAAATTTTACAAACTTTTTTTCTCAAATAATATTTGCAATTAGTTCGTAAATATGAATCTATAAAAAAAGTAATAATAATGTTTATATGCAACCTGCTAAAACAATTCTTTAGCAAAACAACAATTTAAAAAAATGCATACTATTAAAATCTAAAATAAGCAAGTTATTAAAATAAATGATCAAATTTGATTTTAGTATTAGTATTAAGAATCACCAAATTAATTATATTTACAAAAAAAATTTTAGTTTTTGAAAACTAACTACTTTTTTATATAAAAATTAATGAAATTTCGAACTTCGGTCATTCACGGATAAACAACGAAGGAGGCAATTAGCAGTAAAATTGTGAAATGTTGATTAGCGTTACGAATGTAAAATGTACTGGTGACTTTACCAGTAAATTTACCAGTAAAATTTGACATTTTTATAATAAATACACACCATGGTATTTTATTTGAATAAAAAATTTGTTCATGATTTCAAAATTAAATCACAGTTCTTTGAGTTCTAAAAAATACCAAGCTTGAGACATTTTTTTTTAAGATAAAATTACAGCTCAAAGACAATTATGGATGCGTTGCGAATAATGTGAAGATTGGTTGTGCGGATCTTGCTGTTTTACTAAGGTCAACGATACTTGCAAAAATTGCTAATAAACATACAAAGCTCATTTAAAGCAAAGTAGTGTTTTTTTTGTTTTTGAAAAAACTTTTTTAAATAAACTGAAAAATATATCTTTAATTTTATTAACCAGTGCGTAGAAAATGTGATAATGGCCAAAGTAATAAAATAGTTGACTAATTACAATAAAAATTAAAAATACTACCACTTATATTTAAAAAGGTCTTTTTTTATGTGCTTCTTCTTGTTTTATTTGGTGCCCAAAAGACTTTTTTTTTGAGCCCGGGGCGACGCCCTCCTTAGTTACTGGTATTACCTGAACTAAGTTCGAAACCAGTTAGAAAAAAGTTAAAGGTATATTTAACTTCTTAATTCATTTCGTAGAACAGTGCAGTAATGTTACAGTTTGACACAAATTTATATCATCTGCAGACACGATCATTCGTCAAAGCCTATACCTTTTAGGAGGTTTAATAGCTATTATAGTGTCAAACTCTTTCGGAATTAATTTGATTGATAATTCATCGTAAGTATTTAGATTATCTCTAGGGATTAAAAAGTCTATAAATGAGATATGAGTAGTTAGAATCCTGTTAGAAAGTTTTGCTTCTGATTTCTGCTAGGTGTGTAAATAAATTTACTTTTGTGTTTATTAAAATTTGGAAGGAGTTTGAACATCTTATTTGTTTTCACGGTAATTCATCAATTATTTTTTAAGTGCATTTTAAGTCGTTTTGAAGTTACATTTTATATACTTTTTGAATCTTGTCAAAAAATTTGTTTTATATTTCTTGCAGAAGATTTTATTTTTAGATATTTTTTTATATAATTATTGTTTTGTTCTAGAAAATTTCTTGAGTCCTATAGTAATCGAAGGAATATTTAAGGTTTTATTACTTGGTCTATTTTCAATAACAGGAAAGTTTGCATTATAGGGTATACTGGGGCTAGTTGCTTCTGTTTTTTCTTTTTGAGCTCTGTAGCTCTAACGGCCCTAACGTAGCTCTAATGGCCTTTATTTTTGTAAATATTAAAGAATAATTTTGGTGAGAAGAAATATAGGTAATTTAATTATTTTTTAATAATTTTGACAAGTATAAGTTAGTTAACATTTTCAAGAAGTATCTATTATGAAAAAATTTTTCATGGGGCCCTTCTAGTTCCTCAAAAAAAAAAGTTGTTTTTTTATTTACCCCACCGCGGAGTAAGTTAGCGCAAACTAAAAATTATATTATTATATATTTAGGTACAAAATTTATGAAACTTTATTTACATTTTATTTTGAAAAAAAAATTAACCCAAATGATGTGTTTAAAAAGCCAAAACAGTGTCCACATTTTTCCTAGACAAAAAACCCCGCTGTAATTTTTTCCACTTTTTTTTGTAAAAAATGAATGTTTTAAATTTGTTTATAAAATAATCTTTAAAAAACAAATAAGAAAAAAAAATTATTTATAAAAATATTTTTTTTCTAAATTAAATAATTTGAAAAAATTTTTATTTTTAATGTTTTATATAATTTTTTATTTTATAAAAAGTTATATAAACCCTTTTCTTTTCATAGTTTCTTTTGTTAATTTAGTTTTGCTGTAAAAACAAGCTAAAAGTTTTGGACACACTATTATAAACGTTCAAATCATTCTTAACAGAATGTTCAATATTATCCACCACGTTTATTTATTGCTCCATCACGTTTATTTGTCTCTCTAATAAAGTTGTTTCAAAATCAAAAAGATGAAATTAGAAGTATTTTTTATTATATTCGATGAAAACCAAGCTACTGTTAAACAAATAATATAAAAGATGCTTTCAGTTTCTTCTAAAAAATGTCAAAGTTTTTAAAAAAATTTATTTAAACTTCTAAATATTTATGTGGAGGATTCTGTTTAAAGTTTTTTTTTTTTTTTTTTAATTTTTTTATAAAAAGTTTATTTATTTTACAAGCACCATTTGTGCATATCATTTGTGCATATCATTAAATGAAGCAAAACCTATTAATTTTTCTTTTTACTTCTATCCTCCTATTACGTTATTTTATGCTCGATAGATTTCTTTATTGTTTGTTCAAAACAAATATTTTAAAAGTTTATTTCATCATTTATAACAACAACTTCCTTCTTTAAAGCTAAATTTTTATAAAAGGTTTAAAAATAGTATTAGTAATTTATAAGAAAATGTATTAAAAATTTATATATATATATATATATATATTTTATATATATATATATATATATATATATATATATATATATATATATATATATATATATATATATATATATATATATATATATATATATATATATATATATATATATATATAGGGGAAAGCGGGGCAACATGGCGAATGGAGCAAGATGGGTTTTCATATAACAATTCAACAAAAAATTTAAAAACTGGGTGAAAACGAAACTGTATTTGCATCTTGTATTTTAAAACACCAATTGGTTTTTTGAAATATTATTAACGCCATTTTATACAAATAAGTTTACTTTTTGCGCTTAAAAAAAAATTCCTCACTTTCGGTTTCTCATAATGGATGGTGTCCTTCAAGTTTAACTTCTTTAGAAGTAGTTTTTGCAATTTGTGTTTATTTTTTGTTACTTTAATTAGAGTTATTGGCAGTTTTTAAAATTTTACAAAATTGGAGGTAAAAATTGCATAATAAGTCATCTTGCCCCGGTCACGTGACCATATGACAAATTTATGAACTTTTTATTTTAATATTTATTTCAAATTGTTATATTTACAAACTGAAAATTCATGCAGGCAATGAAAGAACTTAATAGCATAAACATACTGAGAAAGTATTATGGCTTCACGACTTCTAATTTTTCAATAACTAAGGGCTTTCAAAACGTTCGCCATGTTGCCCCGCTTTCCCCTATATATATATATATATATATATATATATATATATATATATATATATATATATATATATATATATATATATATATATATATATAAATATATATATATATATATATATATATATATATATATATATATATATATATATATATATATATATATATATATATATATATATATATATATATATATATATATATATATATATATATATATATATATATATATATATATATATATATATATATATATATATATATATATATATATAATTGATCGAATTGGAGATTTTAAATTTGCTATTCAAATGACAAATCACTAAATATTCATTAACAACGTCAGTTTTGCAGAAATAGTGAAAATAAAAACTGTGAAATATGCACAATGCTTTGACAACACTGTTATAATTTATTTGTCTGTAAATTACCAACACCAATAAAGTGAGAATTTTTCAGGTTTTTAATCGTTAGTGACATTAAATTGCGGAATAATTGTTTTTAATCGTTAGTAAATTGCGAAATAAGTTTGATAATATTAACACAATTTATGAAATTATAATTAAAGTTTCAACTTTTAGATTATGCATGTACAAACTGTCATTGCAGTTAAACTAAATATGTATATATATTATTACTATACTTCCATATAGTACTAATAGATAAATAATTATTAACAAAATTGTCGCGAACATTTTTTGTGGACACTCCAAGTATTTTTTTTATAAAATGTAACTACAATTGTGACAAAATGTCAATTACATTTTAATTATTATTGTCATTAGTTTGCGCAATAATTTAGATTTTATGACCATAATTTACTGACAATTTACCGCTTATTACGTTAACATCGTTAACTTAATGTGGTTGTCTAACGGATGTGGTGCAAATATTTAAACGATTTTTTTATTGTTATTTCATAAATTTCATTTTTCATCTCTCGAAGAAAAGATATCGGTAAGGAAAATATTTTTTCTAGAAAGATATTTTAGTTGTATTCCCACTTTTTTTAAAATGTAGACTAATATAGTCTATAAAATGTTAAAGAGTTATTTATAAAGAAGTTTGATCAATTGGCTAACGGTTATAGTGACTTAAATAAATAATTACTATTGAATTTTTACAAATAAAATGACAGAAAGAGTGACACCTAACCTTATTTATAATATATTATTGTAAATTTTTCATATTTTATGGTTAAATAAATGGACAAAGTAAATGGTCACAAAAAGAAAAAGATTTGATAAGTAACATCTATATGTATTATATGTATCTATAAGTATTGTATCTTCATAAAAGTAAATAAACATCAGTTATTATATAAATAAACCAGTTTAATATTGTACAACGTAAAAAATAATTAAACATCAGTTATTATATAAATAAACCAGTTTAATATTGTACAACGTAAAAAATAGTTAAGAAGACTAGTCCAATTTGATTGTTTTTCGTTAATTTAATAAAACTATTGTGAGACTGTTCAAAATAAATAAAAGACAAAAATAAAAAAGATTGCTACTAAAGGACTTATTTGAAATAAATTTTATAAATTTTTAGTTTTATGGGTTATGAAACCATTTAATTTTTTATTTAAACGATATTTACTTTAAGTTGTTTTCCTTTAACCGCGTAACTCACGAAGCTAAGTCGCATAAAAAATTAACATACAAACGTGATCTTTTTTTTTTAAAAAAAAAAAAAGATCATGTATATATGTTAACTGACATGGATTTCAACTCTTTTATATTGCATAATTAATCATTTAAATGAAAATATTCAAAGCCTACAGAATATTAAACGACATGCTGTTAAATATCTCTTGTACAACTATTATGTAAGAAGAACTTTTTCGATAAATCGATTTCGAAAAAGCTTTTGTATAATCGTTTTTGCGTAAATAAAGATAAATATTTTATATTTATATTTTAAGTTTTTATTAATAACGTAAATTACTACCATTTAAAACTTTCGATTATCATATTTTTGTATTTTTGGATTTCTAGCTAATTATCAAGCCAACTAAGATGGAGAATTATAAAGGTCTAAACCAAAGCATATTAAACAAATATATGGAGCTTGATACTAACGGTAAAATTCAAGCAAACTACATATGGATTGATGGTTCAGGTAAAACATTGCGATCAAAAACAAAAACCCTTGACTATGTACCCGAAACACCCGATCAGCTACCAATTTGGAATTTTGATGGCTCGTCAACAGGTCAAGCAACCGGTAAAAACAGTGATGTTTATTTACATCCAGTCGCCATTTTTCCTGATCCATTCAGAGAAGGTAAACATAAGCTTGTACTCTGCGAAACTTATACTTATGATCACAAGCCAACAGAATCTAACAAAAGAAAATCGTGTAAATCTGTAATGGAGCTAGTAAAGGTATATCAATTTTTTAAACAGTTGTTAAATTTTTGGGTAATATATTTGATATTTACTGAGCACATCAACACACGTTTCAAGTTAAAAACAGTTTTTAACTTCAAACGTGTGTTGAAGTTTTTCTTTTAAGAAAATAAGCGTGTTTCCGTAAAGTTGGTAAAAATCTTTGAGCGCTTTAATTAAAAATAAACAAAAACTTTTAACATCGCATAACATATTATTAAAATTGAGATTTTATGTGACAAGAAAAATATGCTGTGTAATTTTGACACCATTGTATTTAAAATTTATTTTAAAAACTTAAATTTAATCACAAAGATATAATTATTACTGTATTTTTTTTTTTTAGGACTCTCATCCTTGGTTTGGCCTCGAGCAAGAATATTCCTTACTTGATCGTGATGGACAACCACTTGGGTGGCCAAAAGGTGGTTATCCGGCTCCTCAGGGACCATACTACTGCGCTGTTGGCACTGGAAAAGTTTTCGGAAGAGAAGTAATGGAAGCTCACTACAGAGCATGTCTTTACGCGGGATTAAAAATAGCTGGAGAAAATGCTGAAGTTATGGCATCACAGGTTTTTGAAGTTATCAGTCTTCTTTCTTTTAAAATAAATTACATATAATAAAGTTATGTTGTTTGATTATTTAATATTGTTTTGTTAAGTGGGAATTTCAAATTGGACCTTGCGAAGGAATTGAAATGGGAGATCAATTATGGGTAGCTCGTTATTTGCTTGAACGAGTTGCTGAAGATTTTGGAATTATTGTTACATTAGACCCTAAACCAATATCTGGAGATTGGAACGGTGCTGGTTGTCACTCTAACTTCAGGTTTTATTAGAGTTTCTTTTGCAGTTAGTAATAGTTGGTTAACAGTGACATTTCCAAAATATTTTGTTTAACTTTATAAGGTTATAGTATATTTTCGTTTTATAGAAAAATATACTATTATATTACGCACTGGCGTAGTAAGTTTTTTAAAATGTTTGAAATAACCAACTTTTAAACAAAAAGAATATTCCAAACTTTTTTACGTTCATAAATATGACGAAAAGATTCTTCCCCCCCCCCCCCCCCCAAAAAAAAAAAAAAAAACTGTGATATGAAAATGGGAAAAAGAAACTTAGTTCCCCTGCCCCAAACGCGAGAGCAACAAGCTGATGAAATATTTTTTGTACTATTTTCAACTAGACTTATATTCATCGATAAATTTTAAATTTCATAGTAAAATAAATTGTTCAAAAATTATGACCATATAAAGTTTAAACCCACTCAATTTGAGGGGGTTGCAAATTTTATATGGTCATAATTTTTGAACGCTAAGAAATTATGCTATGAAATTTAAAGTTTCTCGATGAATATAAGTCTAGTTAAAAATTATACAAAAAATATTTTATCAACTTGTTGCTCTCACGTTTGGGTCAAGGGGGGCTAAGATTTTGGGGTTTCTTGTTCCCAATCTTCTATCACAATAATTTTTTTTGTGAAGAATCTTTTCGTCATACATATGAACGTAAAAAAATTTGGAATGTTCTTTTTGTTTAAAAGTTGGTTATTTCAAACATTCCTACGCCAGTGATATTGCATATAATAAATAATATAAGCCTTATAAAGTAAACTAAATTTAAATATTTTTAAATTTGTTTAGTAAAAATATTTAAACGTATTGTTTCTATATTTTAACCGACTAATTTTTTAATGATCCCTTATGTTTTATAGTTTACGAGAAAACTAAATTATAAAATGTTTTTTTTTACTTAGTACACTCGAGATGCGAAAAGAAGGGGGACTTAAAAAGATATATGAAGCTATTGATTGGTTATCCAAGAACCACAAACATCACATTCGATGCTATGATCCAGCTGGGGGTAAAGATAACGAAAGACGTTTAACTGGACATCACGAAACTTCTACGATACATGACTTTTCTCATGGAGTTGCGAATCGTGGGTGTAGTATTCGAGTGCCGCGACAATGTGCTGAAGAAGGATACGGTTACTTAGAAGATCGAAGGCCTGCATCAAATTGCGATCCTTACGTTGTCACAGAAGCACTTGTAAGGACAATAATTTTAAACGAAATAGTTGATGAATAAAATTTTTTTATAAAAATGAGTAAAACTTATACTTTAGAGAATTCAAAGTAATTTGAAACAATTTTTAGTTTGTAAACTGATTATTTATGTTTTTTCTAAGCATAAATACGTTGTCTATTTGTTAAGCTCTACTATAGACGCACGATCATATGAATTTCATAAATTATTATTTATATATTTTAAAAGTAAGAACCTCAATCATTTAAAAGTTTAATGGAAGTAAGGCTTTAATGTGTTTTAAGAGGGTTTAATTTGAGATTAGGTAGTTTGCACAATTTCTTTTAAAGACTATTATTTTTTTGTGTGTTTTCTAATTATTTTTGTTTACTTACCCAATGTAAATGTATGGTTTTTAGGACTTGTTGTCTTTTTCGTTAAATAGAACCAGATTTATATTTTCCTATATTATATTCGAAAAATACTCCTTTCAATGGTCAAAGTTTCAGTTTTTCTGATATTTATCTAGATGATATTTCGTACCTTTTTGCATGAAGTTCGAGAATATATTCAAACTTTCCGACCTTCTTTTAATCAAATAATTTACTTTTTGACAACCAAAATGGTTTTTACATTTTATCTCTGGTTTTTAACGGTATCAACTGAATGTTTTTAAAATGGGATTAATTTATTTAAACCATAAAGCATAATTTAAATACAAATAGCTGGGGCAATATTAAAACATAATAGGCTGGGTGAATAAAAAAAAAATTTCTGCTTTTACTTAGTAATTGGTTAACTTTAAATGAGTAAAAACTTTAGCTATTTCGGTCAAACTTTTATTCACGTAAAGCTGAACAATTACTCAGCGTTTTGGAGTAAATTGCTTAGCCTTACGAGAATATAAATTTCAACGAGTTTGCTAAAAATTTTATTCACGTAAAGCTTAACAATTACTCCAAAAACGCTGAGTAAAACCATGGAAGTATAAAACAGATGGAAGTTCATCCAGCCGCAAACATCAGAGCAATTTCAAGTCGTCTAGGGAGTATACTTGTAACCGACAATAAAAAAAAACAACAACAACTTTCACTGGACAAAAAACAACAAAATTCACTCAAATAATTTTTTTTTAAAGATCAAATAATGAATTATTCTAGGAATATGCTGTAAAGTTTTAACCATTAGTAATTGCAATTATTCAGTAAAAGATTTGTTAAAACTCGGTAACTAATCAGAACCACTTGATTTTAAAAGCATATGTTAGTTTAAACTTCTTTTCTTGCTTCAAGTCATAACACGACATTTGATTAAAAAGACAACTAAAACAATTTTTAAAAAAGCAAAAAAATTGTTTTCTAAATAACTAAAGTTTAAAGTTTCATTAACTGTATTTCATAATTCCATTCATTCTTGTAGTACTCCATTCTTTTAATATGTAGTACTCCATTCTTTTAATATGTAGTACTCCATTCTTTTTAATTGCGGTTTCGTTGCGCCATTTTTAATGTTTTTCTTGAATATTATTGGCGAACCTTCAAAATACTATATTTTTAAATTATTGTATACGTATCTATATTGCTTACTTTTATTCACCCGACCTGAATTGTCTTATCGCCCCACAATTTATACAGTAAATGTATAGTAATAAAAAAAAGAATCCGTAATACAATTTAATACAAAACGTATTTATAAAAAATTTATGAAATAACATACTGACTACTTTAATATTTTTTTTGTTCAAATTTTAAAAGACTCCATTGTTTTTAAGTATCGGTTAATAAAAAGTTTAAAAAAAAAAAGTTAAATTTAAAAAAAAATTAAAAAAATAAATTAAAAAAAAAATTAAAAAAAAAAAAATTAAAAAAAAAAAAAGTTAAGTTTAAAATGCAAAAATAAAATATTTAGTACTAAAATAAATCTATAATATTCTAAATCATGCGTGAAAAATACGAGCAAATACCAAAAGTTGCACACAGTACTCAATACAAAAATGTTCAATAAATGTTTAATTACTTTAACAGCTACAAGAAATATTGCGATGAAGCTAAAATTGATCATTTAAAATGCATACTTGGAACTGCGATAAATGTGGTTTTAGTAGTAACCAATTAAAAATTTTAATTTTATGACGGAAGCGCATTCTCTAACTTACAGGAAAAAAATGAAAAAAATAATTATAACGTAAGAAACGGCGTCTAAGCATCAGGCTGCTACTTACCACCTTTCTTCGCTTATAAATCAAAAAAATACTTGTATTGTTCATGGAGCAGAGGTGGTCCAACCAGCCTAGTTATCGATCTGGTTCGCGATGGATAAAGAAATTGAGAAATTTATTAAAATGTCATAGGAATTTTCGAAGAACAAATTCTTATATTAAATGGTCACATCAATCATGTGTAATTTTCATCATGTAACAATTTTCATGAAAAATGTTAAGAAAACAACGTCCGTTTGGTATACTGATCAGCTTATTTAAGTCATATTTTGCAATCACTGGATGTTGAAACGTAATGTCACATTAAACATGCTCGGAAAAACGTATTGTAAAGGTATTATGCATTTTCATTATACAAAAATATCGATAAAAATAGTTTCCTAATTTTATTAAAAGTTTTATATGAAAGTGGCCAATGTTTCATCAGAACACACACACACAAGTGGCCAATGTTTCACCAGAACACACATACAAATGTGGCCGATGTTTCAATAGAACACACACACAATCAGGGCTTTCGAAAAAACAGAGTTACTCCTTTCAATAAACCTAATATTAACCTATTTGACTAATTAAAAGTAACGGAAACATTTGAAGATATAGCACCAGAGCTGAATCTTCAAACGACTATATCATCTACTGGGCAGAATTCCTAATTAATTTCATCAACACCAATCTCAAGGATTTTCGTTAAATATTATAACAAAACACTCATTGAAATTAAAATTTTTTTAAATCTTTAATGAAAATATCTATGCAACAAATTATTGTCTCTGATAAATAATGTCCACACAGTGTCAGTTTAACCCACGGACACACATTTTAGTGAATATTCGAAATATATAAATTTTGGAAGAAAAAATATTTTTGGCCTCTTTCCTTGACTTCCTCTCATGTCCCAGAAGTTTTTAATCTTTGATTCTCAGTCTTGTTTAGTTCCAATCTTATTATGTTCTCTTTATATATCAGGTTTGCAACTAGAAAAAGTGAGTATAGTCACTAATGGAACTTACTTAGCCGTAAATGCCTTAGATAAATGAAGGGATTGATTTTATTAGAAAAAGTTATTGTTCTTACTTAATTCCAGTTTTGTTTAACTTAATAAAGATTCAACTATATTTCATATCGCTTAGTGGAGTTGATCGTTTTAGTATATTTGTTTTATAAAAAACATGCACCCTTATAATGGAGATGTTCGTTTTAAATTTAGTTTATATACTCAAAAATTGAAAAACACAATAAATCTGTTTATTTTCATGCAAAACATCTAAGTAAACCTATAGGAAATTATAAGATAAATATTCAAAAACATATTACAAAAATCAAAACAATTATTAACATTTGCCATCGTTGCCGTAAGCATAATGTGATACACAATTAATTAAATAACAGTGCATACGACTTTTTTTTTTTAACAACTTGAAGGGACTTTCGAGTTCAAACATGGTGAAAAACAAAAAAAATGTGTTGAATGTCGACCAACTCTGTTTTATTCTGCGTTATGTTTTACAAAATGGAGAACAAGTTTTGCAGTTCTTTAAATTCATTCCTATTTATAATCATTTTGCAGTTTCCATGCTTGAAATCGTTTTGAAAAAGTTAAATTTGTACGAGATCATCATTCAAAATTGCCGTGGCCAGTCGTACAACAATTCCAGTAATATATCTGGAATCTACTTTGGTTTACAAGCAAGAATTAAAGAGATCAACATTCTTGCCGAATACATTCCGTGTGTTGCTCACTCATTGAACCTCGTAGGAGTGAGTGCTGAGGCATCCAACGGAGCTGCTGTTAATTTCAATAAACTTATAACTTCTTTGTTGCATTAATGCATTGATGGTATGTCTTAACTCTCTCACAAACTCGTTGGTCAGCTCGTGTTGATGCTTGTTTTTGAAAAGTGTTATTTTATTTACAAGGTTATTAATAATTATTTAGAAAATCAAATTAAAACATATTTTATTTGTGATTGTGCATACTTATCAACAAATGTTTTCTATATAGGCGGCTCTTCTTGGTATCAGAAAAAAAAAACAAGAGCAGAGGCCTTCAGATTTTTGAAAAAAATCTGAAGTTTCAAAAAAAAACAACTTGAGACAGCTATTTTATTAATTATTTGGAGTAGAATCACGTCTCCATGGTTCAACAAAGTTAACAAGAAGCTACAGTCCGTCAAGCTTGATTTAGGTATAGTTGAAAAATTGTACTTATCCCTGGAGTATTAGACGTAGCAAGAAAAAAAGTAACTTTTTTTAAAGCTTAAACAATGAATAAAGTTTCGAGCCATGGATAAAAAAACGAAAGTAGGATGATGAAAAATAAGAAAGGATGATGAAAAATAGGATGCCGAAAAACAAAAATGAATGAAAAACGAAACAATGAATAAAAGTTGACAAAAAAACGAGCAATTGACAAAAAAACGAAAAATAAAGACTACGAAACGTGACATAAACTACATAGACGATGCAAATATATCAAGTAAGCACATCAACGTATAAAATGCAAAGAATATTTTAATGAAATTAGTTAAAAAAAACTATGTAAACAAATGTTTTTATGTAGTTAAAAAATTAACTACATCACATTACATTCAAAGATTAAATTTAACATATAGAGTAAAAACAAAACAAAAAAATTCATTAAATATATTTTTTTCACTTTCTCTTCTACCGACATTTCTAGAGTACCCAGCAAACATGTCAGCGTTGAATAAACGTTGAAAACCGGTCGCAAAAAATGTTGCGGTAACGTTGACAAAGTAATCGATTTTGCAAAAATATGTAACGTTGTTAAAGAGACGTTGAATAAACGTTGTAGCGTGACGTTGAAAAAACGTTACTAAAAGACGTTGCAAAAATGTTGCAACTAAACGTTGAAAAAGCATTACTTAAAGAGCGTTGCATAAGCGTCGCAATTTAACGTTAAAAAAACGTTACTTGAAAAACGTTACTGTAACGTTGTTAAAGCAGTCGATTTTGCAAGGATTTTTAACGTTGGCAGTAAAACGTCGATTTAACGTGACTTAAAGACGTCGAGTTAAGGTTGAAATATAACGTTGAAGCAACGCTTAAATGCGCTGGAAAAAATATCGCAAAATATTATTAAATGTAATTAAATTTAGCTATGATATATATTGAATTGGCAAAACGATGATAAGGAAAATTATGATGATGATGATGATGATCATCATCATCATCATCATGATCATCATCACCATCTTAATTATTATCATCATCACCATT